GTTTCAATTTTTTTTTAATTTACTTCAAAAACTATTTTTTTTTTTAAAATTAGATAAAAAATGACATATTAATAGTCACGTGATATAAAAATATTTTATTATATATAATTCACATATCTTACACAAATCCGAACTCTAATATAATAATATATTTTTTATATTATATGACAGTTAACATGATATTTTTTATCAAATTTTGAACAAAAAATAGTTTTAAAAGTAAATTGAAAAAAAAAATTGAAATGTGAAGAACCAAAGTAAGAAAAATAAACTTAAACCGCCAAAAAAAAAAAGCCAACCATAAAAGGGACAAAAGTGCAATTTACCCCTTTACATTAATGGATTAATATAACTTTCGATTTTTAAATTATTGTTAAATTATCTATTTAGTTTTTAAATTATGGATTGAATAATAAATCCTTAAAATATATAAACTAAATCTATATAATCTCTAAACTATCAATTAAATTTATTGAGTTTTTTAAATATTTAATTCAAATCTATTTATTAGTTGAAAAGATTAAAAAATAAATTATTGTTACAACTTAAAAATTTAATTATTCTTAAATTCTGTATCAATATTATTTAATTACAAGCGGGAAAAACATAAGTTATTCTATAATTTTATGAATAAAGATTCGGACCCCCTTTGGGGGTCACCCCCATGACCTCCTTTGCTTTTGATTGGTCAACTTTTCTTTTTCTTTTTTTTTCCTCTCTCTCAATCCGCAACCCCCACGTGTGCGTGGGAGTGGTGGGGATGAGAGTTTTAAGGTGGTCTGAATCAATGCCCTAATTTTATACGTAATTTTATAATTAGGTTCAAAATATATAATTTTGTAAAAAAGTGTAATTAGTATAATTATTAAAAGCAATTGGATAAAAGTGCAATAAGAATATAAAAATAAAAATAAAAAAGTGGACACTTATCCATGAATGCATGAATAGATTAGATTATGTGTTGTCTTCATAGTAAAAGAAAAGAAAGAAAGTCGTGCTGAGTAATCAAAATAAGGAAAAATAACAAGGATACATGTTTAATTGTTTTCATTGATGGTAAAGTTTAGGCGGTCTATTTATATATTTTTATAATATAAAAAATTAAAGTGATATTTTTTAATAATTTAGAGACCTTCTAGGTAAATAATCTAAAAATAAAAAAGGCAGAATATTGAGGGATCAAATTGAGGGCTAGGATTGGTTGTGGAGGAATCAAACGGCCGGGAATGCATGGTTTGAGCGGTGGGTGTGAGCATAAATGGGTGTTTTCGGAAAATGATTAAATGTTGATTTTTTAATTTTTAATTTTTTTTATTATTTTATGTAAAAGATAATATGACCAAAAATAAGTGAAAAATTAATTTTTAACTTTTATTCCATATTCCCAAATGACCCAGAGTCATTGTCTTGGTTTTGCTGATACTACATACATACGTATATGCATTTTCTGGAGGCTTGTATTCTCATTTGGCCACATAACTTATAAAAACTGTTTATTAGCTTATTTAAGTCTCGTTTGACAACATATGGTTTCAGCTTAAAAATTAAAAAATTATTAAAAAAATTAAAGAGTCAACAAACTATATTAAAAGGTCAAAGATTTCTTTTTCTTTATACTTTTTGTACATCTTTTTATAAAAAATAAAAAAAGTCATTCCAAAATACTAATTTTTTTACTTCATATTTTAACCAAAAAATTAAAAAATTATTAAAATAATCTATTGGCAAACGAAACCTTCAATATATTATTTCTATTTCTTCGACATTCTTTTAAAAGAAATTTTAAAAAATCAACTTATAAATCATCCCCAACATAACTTTAGTGAGCATCTCCAATGCACTAGGCATATCATACTTGTTAGTTAAAATGCCTAGTGTGATTCACTTTTTTCAATTCCAACGCACTAGGCATATGATTAGGCATTTTGGCTCAACTCATATTCACTAGCTACATGTAGCTAGCCTTCAACGCTAGGCAAAATGTATTCAATCATTAGGATCATTTCCCTCCATCTTTGTTGCGGTTGGAGTAAAAACATAAAACAGTTGATAGGCAAAATAAAATATATACTTTATAGTAATATTTAGATAGGTAAAATGCCTACTACCCTCTACCCCCCACTCGCTACCACCTAACATCACCCACCCACCACTACCCATCCCCCACCGTCACCACTTTCCACCATCGTCTTTCGCCGCCAATTGCCACCACTTGTCATTTCTCACTTTTTTTTTTTATATTTTTAAATTTTTTTAAACATTTTGTCAATTACCAAACGCGTTTGTAGTTTATGTTTTTCTAAAAATAAACAAAAAATAAACAAAAATCAGTTTATAAAATTTTTGTAAATATAAACTGAAAACGTAAACGTTACCAAACACACCCTTATGGTTTCAGTTTAAAAATTAAAAAATTATTAAAAAAATTAAAGAGTCAACAAACTATATTAAAAGGTCAAAGATTTCTTTTTCTTTCTACTTTTTGTACATATTTTTATAAAAAATAAAAAAGTCATTCCAAAATACTAATTACATCATATTTTAACCAAGAAATTAAAAAATTACTAAAATAGTCTATTGCCAAACGAAACCTTCAATTATATTATTTCTATTTCTTCGACATTCTTTTAAAAGAAATTTTAAAAAATCAACTTATAAATCATCTCCAACATAACCTTAGTGAGATTTTTAAAATATGCAAAGATTGGAACTATATTCTTCCTTATCCACACATATGAGGTGTGCAGGAGGATTTTTTTTCAAAATATTCTTCTATTAATTTTAGTTGGGTTTGTTGGGTTTCTATGAGAGGGTACGGTGTAAAAAATATTTTAATATAACCAATTTACTTCCATTTGTTCTGACGTAGCATTTCTCTTCTAAATTAATTTTACGTAAAAAAATAATTTTATTTTTATTTACTTAAAAGATAGTAAGTGGTAGTCAACCATATAAAAATTAACTTACGAAAATTTTAAAGATAAGTCATTTTTAAAAAAGTAATACAAAAATATTTTTCTTAAAAATCTTTTACTTACTTTTTGTTTAACTAAACAACAAAAAAATGAATAAAATGTTTTGAAAAAAACATTTTATATCAAACTTAATGGAAAATCTCCTTTTTAATTAGTTCATGAAATATTTTTATATTTAATAAGTGTTAAAAGGTATCCACTAAATTCTAACAACCTCATATGCGTTATGGTGTGCTTTAATTTGGACAGTTTTTTTATTTTTTTGTACATTCAACTTTAAAAATTCATAATTTTTGTTGTATATATTTATTTTTGAGGTAATGCTATGATATATGCAAGTTATGACATTTGTGAAATTAATTATCACAATAATGTCATAACTTATTCCTATAGGAGTCATAATTAAAACGAAAAAAATGAGTTATAATCAAATATCATATAAGGTATAAACAAAAAGCTCTTACATCATAATAGCAATCACAATCTGTATAATTAAGTCATAATCAATACCTCAATAAGTCATAACCAAATACTATAAATAAAGAGCGTAACTAAGATGCATATGATACACACCCATAGAATTTTTCTTATTTTTTTTAATTAAATTTACATTTTTGAAACATATTTAACGATATCTATCAAGTAAGATCTCACTTGACTATGTAATTATGTAAAATAAAAAAATTAAATTAAATTTTGCAGTGTGAATGTTCACACTGAAATTATAATTATCAATGTGAGATGATTTCGTACATTTAATTTTGTATTTGTTTAGATTCAATTTCAATATTAAAGTATACATTCTCTCAATTGCTATTGTGAATGTTTAACATCTTTACATTCAAAATACCATTCACATTTACAATATGAATGTTCACAATAAAAAATAACAATATGAACGTTTAAAATACCACCCACATCCACAATATGAATTGGTGAGAATTTTGTGAAAATTTTCATATTGCAGTGAAATCAATCGAATCCCTACACTATCAAGAATATGGATGGCAATTTGAACCCAACCCAACGGGCACTTGACCCCCCCAACCCCAATTAGAACGGTTTTTTCCCGAAAAATACCCCAGACGAGCCAGGAATGGTATTTGAAAATGAATCCTTGACAATTTTTGGTTCGGGGACGGTAATACGTTTTCTAGCTCCAGCCCCGGCCAGTCCCTGGCCCCATCCCTGTTTCCTCCTGAACTAAAATTACATAGATACCCCTTTATCCATTGAATCAGCGAGCAAATAGCAAAGAGAGAAAGAGTACCGGATCAGCGACAGAGAAATAAAGCAAAGAGCAAAGAGAGAGAGAGAGAGAAAGAGAGAGAGAGCAAGGGAGAGGGGAAGACCGGCAAGGCAAGGCGAGGCGAGCGGAGAAGACTGACAAGGCAAGGCTTCCCCTCTCTCTCTCTCTTCTCTCTACTCTCTCTCATTCTCTCTCTTCTCTCCGCAGCAACCGTTGCCTCCTTCTTGATACCACTGCTAGTGTCGCGATGCCAGAGTTGTCGAACCTCCATACTCTAGCATCGGTTCCCTCCGCCACAACAGATTTGAGCAGATCTCCCTCTCTCTCTCTACTTATATCTCTCTTTACTCAGATACACAAATGATGTTGTTGCTGATGATGTTGATGATTTTATTATTTTTGTATGGGATTTTTCGGATCGGGAAAACCCGATCCTCGTTAGAGGACGGGGCAAGGGGGGTGATGGGTTTCCCGTCGGGGATCGGGAGAGAGGATAGGGAATTTTCTACCTTTGGGAATTGGGGACAGGGAGTGTAATCCCGGCCCCGCCCCGACCCGTTGCCATTCATAATCAAGAATACCATTAGCAACAACATTAGCCAATCTTTCTTAATAATCTCGGGATCAACCTTAGAATTTGTTTTTTTTTTTTGGGTTTTGAGCCCTCTTTTGGGATCAATGCTTGGGCTACTTTAGCCATATGCGTCCAAAATAGACTAATTTAGCCACAAAAGACAAAATGAAATCACGTACTGCCTGAAGGGTTCAACTAGTGTCAAAATTACCAAATTACCCCCAGTTTGATCCCTTTGCTCTCATACCAGCAGTAAAAGAAACCACATCCATTCCCTCAGCTAGGGCATTGTTAGATGAGAAGAATGAGGTGATTTGGCTGAATCCATCGCTGAAGAAGAACAGCAACGACTGTTGTCCACATCCGAAGCCGATCAGAGTGCAAATTGACGGCTACACTACAACCACGCGTCCTCGCCACCGCCGATCGTGAGGTACACAAATTTTTTTTTGCTTTTTGGGTATTTCGTCTCCTTCAACCCGATCTGGTGGGGTATATTGATTGATCATCCATTTTTTTATTCTGTCCATGCTATTTGTTTGTTAGGCATCTGGGAAAACATATGATGGTTTCGGATCAAACATGAAATTGTGATGTATACAATTTTTTTTTTTTTTTTTTTTTTTTTTAGAAAATTAATATCTCTGAAATTTACATATCCCATATGTGTTTCATTTTTTTGCTAAATTATTTGCTTTTACACAGCAATTATTTGCCGATTGGTGGGAATTTTTTTTTGTTCCATTCTGTAGATGTCCTGAATGTTGCTGTGTTGCTGGAACATTTCTTTTTTTTCTTTTCTTTTCATGAAATAAATTTTGTCATGCCAAATATATTTTTTTTCTTGCTCTATTATTTGGCAATTTGTTCATGTTGAAGGTTAATTAGTTTGAAGTTTTGAATTCATTTGGAAGATTTGAAAGTAGGATTTATGCCTAATTTGAAGTTAGGATTGGTTGGTAATTTGAAGAAAAACAATTGTGCATAAATTAACAACCTGCTGATTACAATTGTTGACAAATAATAAACTGTCTCAAGGCATATGTGTAAAAAACTTGTTACCAGATTTTAACTGTTGATTCAATCTTTTTTTTTAAAAAAAAAAAACACCAACAAAGGACCTGTATTTGAACATATAAACCAGTTAAAGGAACAAATGGTAGATTCAAAAAATTGGTATCCATGGAACTAATTATTTACAACTATTCGTTTGATAAATAAAAAATAAGTCGACCAAATGACTAACTATTCACACCATTTTCCATTTATAAGAAAAGATAACTTGAACATAGATTGACAAAAGTTTGGCTAATGAAAAATTTTGTATCTCAATTTGTGTGGATAGTTTCTATTTTTTGGGTTTCACATTTGGTTTCATTTGGTACAATATTTCTATTCTAACACATAAATAATAACAAATAAATTAGAATAATATAAACGCTTCTGGTAAACTATTTGTCAAATTATTTGTGCTTGTAATTTTTTTTTCCCTTTTGTAAAACCCCATTTTTAAGAAACAAATATTCGTATTTGTAAATTTGTGAATATTACAAAAAGAATTCATGAATTTTGAATTATGTGGCACCTACATGTTAACTGATTTGTTGTAGTAGACATTTACACAGTCACAAAACAAACCATGGCTTCTTTTACGTCAACCGCAACTTCCACTACATGGCCACATCAGATGTGTGCATGTGGCTATGGTCAATGTGTTGTGAAGATATCGAGATCAAATAAAAATCCAGGACGTTCGCACTTTGCTTGTTCCTGCCCTATGGTGAGTACCCAATTCATTTTCAGTCATAATTTGGATTCAATCCAGACCAATTGACTAATAACTTTGTCATTTTCACTCGTCAATCTTGTGTTAGTTGGATTCGTTAGTGTGAAGAACCAAGGAGACAAAGCACGGACTATGCGTCCTCCACAAACGACATTGTCATGCACTTGTGGGATGATGTCATACACATTCAACACTCGTTGCGTCTCCTTAAAACCGATGTCTCTGTGTTGTGCATTGTCGTTGTCATTTTGTTGTTGCGTATGTAAACAAACTAGGCGCTTTGCATGCATGACTATTCTAATGATGTTGACTGTAATGACTTTAATTTGGCGTATGGTTCCATGAATAGTTCGGGGGAGACTTTAATGACTACCCTAGTGCAATGTAATTATGTTTTGTGTTTGTGTTTCCTATGTTCACTCCTTATGCATGAAGTTTATGTGTTGCTATTATTATTTCAATTGCTATTCAATGGTTATATATTGTCAACATAACAACCCAATGTTGTTCATATTATTCATTGCCATGCAAATTGCTACTTGTGATCACTTTGGGCCAAAAATTACTTGGCATGTATTCCTGGTTAGTTGTAATGGCTTCGACACGTACTTCTCCTTGTAGCCCATCGAAAAACAAAGGGATTGTCGGGGACAAGTCTACAGTGTTGAAAAAACACAAAAGCCTTTGCACAAGGCATCCTGGGATAGTGAATCAACAAGAATTTTTTTACAACTGATAGCCAATGAGATTACAAAAGAGAATCGGCCATTCCTAGTCCTAAGCCAAACTAGGTACAAGTCGTTGGTAAAGAAATTTGAAAAAAAAAAAAAAATGGAAAAAGGCATGGTTTGAAACAGTTGAAGAATAAATATATGAGTCTGAAAAAAGAATGAAATGCTTAGAGGAAGTTGATGGATTCTAGTAAAGGAATTACAAGGATTGGATTTGACAGCGAAACTGGTTTGTTTCAGGCGTCGAATGCATGGTGGGATAAGATGGAATCGGTAAGTAAATTTTTAATTCCGCATGTTTTAATTGTTTCATATTGTTTTTTTACTTCGCCATTTGTTTTTGTTGGTAGTTCGTTGCCCTCATATTGCCTATAGTAACACCTCTTTTTACTTTTTTCATTTTTTCAAACAAACAAGGTGTATGCAAAGGTTAGGACAGAAACTCTGGATCACCGCAAGTTGATGAAGACAGTCTTCACAGGGGCTGCTGCTATGAGTAAAAATCATTGGACCCCCGGAGAGAAATGTAATGAACTTGCAGCTGTTTCATCAAATTCTATTGAAAGTATAGGATTGCAACCATTCGTTGATCCGATCCCCGCATGTGCAGCCAACGTGGAGGTAGATTTGTCAGTGGGACCAGTTGATACTAGGGAAAAAAGGAAACGGACTCCATTAACAAGTTATGAAAAGTCGAAGAAGGTAACAAGTGGTGTGTCAATTATAGCTGAAAGCATGAATAATTTGACAAACGTGGTTCAGAGCCAAAATCAGCAAGTCATAGTCAGGCACCTCACAGGTAATGAATCACTGTTTACAATTTCTAAGTGCATGCAGCGGCTCAAATCCATTCCTTTCCTTCTCGGTGCCGTTATTCCACTTTGCATCAACACTGATGGACAACGCAGATTACTAGGAGGTAATGATATGCCAGCCCGATGATGACCACATTATAGGATGGCTGACACAGAAACAGATGCAATAAAGTGTTGTTGCGCCATTTGCGAACTTGTTCGGTGCACGACGGGTTTGATAGCTGTTGACGTAAGCGTTGGGTTGAGTTTCAAAGTATTGAACCAATTAGTGGATGTGTGCTCGTAACAAACACAAAACATGTAGTTTTTTCTTTATTAGAATGGTTGTGTGTCTTGTTTTACTATTTTTTTATTTGTTCTTTTTAGCTATGTTTTATCGCGAACATGAACTGTGTGTGGTTTTTATTATGGAACTTTGCAGACAACGGCGGGCTGTCGTATGATGCTTGTTTTATTTATTTATTTTTTTTTCTAACTTTGTCTATCGTAATTTTCATTGTGTTGGTAATGCAAGCGAAAAATTCATGGTTTATATTAGCAAGTAGCAACAGCTTCATTGTTGATCTATTATTAATACAGCTAATTACATGTAATTATACATTACAATTTTGGTTCAACATGGTCACAAATAAAAGCGGCTGTGATGGTCACAAAATGTCTTGCCAATTGTTATTACATTATCCCAGTCCATCATAGGTCAACTGATTTGAATAGTTCCTAATGTTGTAGGTGTCACTGAATTTGACGTGATGAACAACGGGAAATGTAGCAACAATGACGGTCTACTGGAAATGCTGAACGAAATGGCCATACAGCTTCAACAACAAAATAACTGGACATTCCTCGAAGCATGCCGGTATGTGCAAGAGTATTATGAAAAGCACATGTGTAAAACACCATGTCGCATTTCTATTTTGATTGGACATGCATGGATAACCAAACTGTATGTGGGCCATGTTGGTCAGTTTGAGAAAAAAGTATGCATACTGAATGAAGTTTTTGCGTCGTTGTGTAATACGTTAGTCAATGATTTTGGGTTACAAGTACCCCAATGTGAACATGGCTTAGCCGTGCAAGAAAGCATTGTAATGTTTATCCACGTGTTGAGAGGGTTTCAGAATCGAGAAATCCAAGAACGGTTTCAATATTCGGGGAGACTATGTCACAGCACGTGCATAATGTGTTAGCAGTGATGAAAGAGTTTACTGTTGCACATTGCAGGCCAACATATAGTCAACATCATATACATCGATACGTGCGATCAAAACGGAAATACCTACCTTTTAAGGTACTATTTCAAAACCGTGACTCAGTTTGATAAGTTTATTTAAATGTTTGGAAATGATGTTGACAAGAACATAAAAAACACCATGTTGTTGGTTCATCAACATTGCAAAAAAAAAAAAAAAACATTTCATTTATCCATAGAAATAGTAAGTTTTGGTCAATGACATTGATGAGATGTTTGTTCAAAATTCAAAACGTGAATAGGAAGTAGTGCAAAAAAAAAAAAAAAAGTACAAAAACTGTAATGTGTGTCCGAAACATATTAATTATTTGATAAAATTTGAAGTAATGTATAACAGGGCATAACTCGAAAAAAAAAAAGGGTTAATGAGCGTCATGTCAATGTTAAAGTGAATGTGTAGATAACAGGGTTCTTGACATGACTGTATCAGAGCAATAAATGGAATACATGTTACTGCACGGGGTTACGAGGCTTGAGGCTGCAACATATTTTGGTAGAAAATATTGTCACACCCAAAATATCATGGCCGTGTGCGATTTTGACATGTGTTTCACATTTGTATCGTTTGGATGGGAAAGAAGTATGCATGATAGTCGCATCTTCAATGAAATAATCACCAATGACAATGTTTTTTTTCCACATCCTAAAAAAGGTAACGTAAAAGAATGTGACATTTGGGTACATAATTTGAACAAAAAAATAAATAAAAACATATCTCGGTATTTATTTTGAATTTCTTGTTTTTTTTGTAGGCAAATATTATCTTGTCGATGCTGGCTATTCAAACCGCACAGGTTACCTAGCACCATTCAAAGGCAGCCGTTACCACCAATAAGAATTCCTCATTACTGAAATGTGTATGAGAGTAGACAATCGGAGGGAATTATTTAACAAAGTTCACGCGTCGTTACGGAGTGTGGTGGAACGAACATTCGGAGTATAGAAAAATTGATGGGGGGTTTATTCAAAATATGCCTCGGTATGATTTCGCCAATGTACAAGTGTAGTTAGTTGGTGCGTCAATGGCGTTACATAACTATATACGTAGAGGTATTGGCAATCCAACGACTGTTAACCCCACTATAAACGATGAAGAGGCTATGGCAATAGTAAATGCCATCCGGAAGTTACACATGACGAGTATGGGATTGGTGCGACTTCGCATCTGAGACAAGTTAGTGTATGTCATGATCCAAACCCGCTCTTACAGGCTTAACATCGTAACTGACTAGTAATCCTTGGATTACCAAAGGCCTTTGAACATGATAAACAAAATACAAGGGCTAGCGGAAGCAAATAATAAAATATAGTGTCCATAGAGCTGTGTAGACATATATGGGACAAAAATTTAATTCTTAATTTACATAAATAAGATATCATACCCATGTCACCATTCATGCGTATAGAGAAACTAAAGGTTTGTTCAACTTAACAAAAGATCTTTAACATGATTCATAAAAACTTGACCACTGCAAAAAAAGAACCTCCTCGGGAAGCACTGTGGTTGGCTAGACAAAACTGACCTCCAGGCAATAGCTTAGGCCTGATCACGCACCTGATCACCTACATACATAAGTAACATAGTGAGCTGATGCCCAGTGAATAACAACAAAGTAAAGGTTTTATGAATGATGTCTGAACAATCTCAGAAATCAGAATTCATATCAGAAGAGATTCAGATTCATATACTCATCAGGAATCATAAGCAATTATATGTGGTACATCCATTAGCCTTCATATCATCTTGGTTTTGAGACCCATATGCATAGTCGGTACCGACGAACCCAAAGGTCCATATCTTGTGCACAAGTAGCCATGGTATTGTTTTCCCTAGGCAAGGACCATGTATAAACCACAATATTGTCTTCCCTGGGTAAGGAACATATGATCATAAGACATGGTATTGTTTTCCCTGGACGAGGGCTATATCAACATATGCCACAGTATTGTTTCCCCCGGGCGAGGGCCATATAAACATATGCCACAGTATTGTTTCCCCTGGGCGAAGGCCTTGTGAACGAGTGTCCCTTAATGCATTTTAGAAAATTGGACACTCATTCACTATTTATAAAATAGCATTTCATAAAACAGATCATATCTTAACATTCTGAAAATATTTATAATCAAACATAGCTCTACAGAGTTGTTACTCACAGATAGCTTTGATAGTTGAATGGACAGAATAGACAAATCGGATAGTTTATGGCGCATGACCTACACAAACACATAACAAATGCACATTGAAACACATGCTCGGAAAACACATAACTCATTTCATTTCTATCTTGGTGTGTTTCTAATCTTTATCCTCATTATTATGTCTTAATTAAGGCATAAGAATGCTTTGAATGCAATGGGGATGCCAAAATGTAACTTAGAACACTCAGTTAAATTTTCAAAAATAGGGCAGTCCGCTCGAGCGTAACATTGGTCGCTCGAGTGGTCCGCAAAGGTAATGGTTGCTTGATTTTTTCACTCGATGGATGCTCGACAGTCGCTTGAGCCAAAGATTGAGTACAAAGAGTTACTGCTGGAGCACAACTTTGGTCGTTCAAGCGGTCTGCAAAATTTTGTAAAACTTCTGGGAGCATAAATTTTATGCTCGAGCTTAGACATCTTCGCTTGAGCGGAGGTACAAATATAAGGGTGGTCGCTCGAGTGTAGGTTCTGCCGCTCGAGCTAAACACTTCAAACTCTACAAAAACACTAGGAGCTCGCATTCTCCGCTCAAGTACAGACTCCACCGCTCGAGCAGAGGGTGCAAATTCTGGAATTTCCAAATTGCTGATTCAAGTCCAAAACTCAATTTCAAAGCTTCAAAACACAACATTTTGGGCCAAAACTTAGTAAAACATTGAGAAACTCATAGTATATGATGAATTACAAACCATTTCGCAAAATCAAGCTCAAAAGTTTTGCCAATTGTACAAAACAAAACTTAGAACTTCCAAAACATAACATGCATGAATTATTATGAACTCTAACCATCCAAAACATGATCAAATGATATAAAATGGCATGAAACTTGATGAATTTCCAAAACCAAGCTATGATCAATACATGCATGTGAGACTTCTTCAAAATCAAACTCCAAAAACAAGAGAATTTGCATACATGTAAGGTTATCTTCTTAATTCTTCTTCCCTAGCTCAATTCTTTGGATTAATTATCTAACTCTCTTGAATTTATGCATTAAGTGCCATAACTACACGACCAAATGAGTGAATTCCTACCTCAAGCTTTGAAGTCTCAAGTGTACAGGCTTAATTTTTCCAAGATTGGGCAATTCTTTGATCTTCTTCTTAATCTCTCTAGTTCCTCTAACAATTCCTATGTTGAGTTCAATATCCTACCCTCTCTCTCTCTCTCAACATTTTTTAGGCTCAAGAAATGAAGAATAAATTGATTCTAGAATATCTTGGCCTTATGTAGGCTAATTAGGGGACTTAACTAAACTTGGTTTAAGATTAGTTAATTACAATTACTTTGTTCTAACTATTTGGTTCTGAATTGAATTTTAATTAAATTCACTAAAATTTTATAAAAATTCCAGATAACACATAAATGGAGTCAATTTCATATTCTGTGGCTGATAAGGCCTTCAATTCACAAAACAGAATAGAAACACAAACATATATTTCTATGACAGACAGATATAAATGCAAATAACATATAACGTAGAATTTCATCTTAATTACTGATTAGGCCTTCTTAATCAAAGATCATAAACTAATAATAGGTCGGGGTTGTTACAGTGTACATGCGTAATAACAGATTGTTAGGAAACATATAGTCAACCTATTATTTGTATGTGTGAAACATTGTTCATCCATGGTCAAGATGTATGTGATTATATTATATTGTACAATATGTATGTGTTTATACGAAAAAATAAAATTACTATTGTTTACATGACGTATTTAGTTGGAGAAAGGGAAAATTTGTTATGCACTTGTTAAGTTTAAGCATGGTAGAGCCATGGCAAACCACGGGATTATGATTTGATGGCTGTGAGAGAAAAAAATAAATAAAATGGCCACGTACTATGTTAAACCAAACTTCTCGAAAATTAAAATATTGGGGCGTCTGACAAGTTAGGTAAAAGGTAGCAGTATGATTAACAAATTGTAAAACAAGTTTAGAGGTGATTGTAGCTTGCTTTTCATGCTCCTTTCGGATACGACTAGCACTACAGTTCGGACTCCCGTGGTTCTGAATATGATTTCACAAATGCAATGTGAAATAGATAAACACAAATGAGTCAAAATCCGACAAATCTTTTGGAAAATCGATGTTGAATCAAAATGCCAAAAATAGACTACTTTGCCAGATATAGAGTCACCACCTAAATATTTTTGAAAAATTTAGGAAACCTGTGACTCATGCGAAAGGCCACTTATCTGTCATCGCCAAAGTGTCTTGGCTTGGGAACTTAGGTACGAGAGGAGAATGTCATGAATTGAGCACCCACTCGCGCGATCAAAGATCGGCCTCTAATAATCATGATGTGATTCTTATTTACATTATATGCTCTTGTTCTAATTTATTAGGCTAACTTTACTAGGTGATACATGTAAAGTTATAGACTAATTTGTAAAAATTGGAACATTTGATTTTGTGTTTGTTTGAAAATTGTTTTGAATATGTACCACTTGAAAAAGTGATCTCATATGTATATTAATCAAATACCCCAATTTAAGCAATTAGCCTTCATCCACAGGCATTCAAAACAGGTATATCACTTAAGCACTTAGCCTCATGGAAAATAAGCTTGTTTTGTCAACACAGACATTCAATGCATGATACTAAAACAATAAATGATCACCTAGTACTCCAAGGCAAGCCAAACAAAGCAAAATAATTAGATAACATGCATGCTCCTAACTTATGCAGAGTGACTAATGTGA